GCACTTCTATAACTCAAGAAATCAGGTTACCAGGGCTCATAGACCTTGGCTAGTTAAATTCCTAAACTGCTTATGAGAAGTTTAGTTATTTTAGCCAAATTGAATATGTCTGCCCTGCTTTAAAAGACACTACAGAAGAGTGCAGCCAAAGGTTAGAAAAATCCTCCATCCAGCAGTGTAGCAAGGGAAGGACAGTAGGATCGGTCCATACCTGTCCAGCAATATGGGGTTGCATTGCATGCAGGCAGTTCAGGTGAATTGATCTCTCACTTGAATGTGCCTGCACAGCTCTGGCACCAAAATCATCACAGCGAGAGTGAGCACTCCCAAGGAGCAATGCAGTAACCATTGCCAACAATAATTTGTCTAACTAAGCTCCCACTGACCACTAATTAAAGGGGCATTTACACACTGATCACTAATGTACAGGAGCACTTGACCCCTGACCACCAGTGAGGGATGGCACATATCCACCAATGTACAGGGACACTACCAACAATAATTGAGCAATGACTACCAATGTAAGGGGATTCTATCCTGGCCAGAAATATATATATATATAACGGAGTATATTGCAGCTTTCACTGACTGCATTTCTTTTCTTTTCATTTTTTTTTAAGTAGAGATTGGTGATAAGACATGATCTGGCCAAAATTTCAAATGTGCTATGTTTCTTGCCTCGTCGCCTATATTCCTGTTTGTATAACCCTAGTTCATACTGTATAACTACAATGGACAGACATGTTCTTGTGCAATGGTTCAAAGTATTATACACACAGTGCTGTAAAAAAAGTGTTTGCCCCTTTCCTTTCCTGATTTTTTTTTTGCATATTTGTCACATTTAAATTTTTCAGATCATCAAACAAATTGTACTAGTACACAAAAATAACAAGAGTAAATACAAAATGCAGTTTTAAATGATGATTTCATTTATTAAGGGAAAAAAAGCTGTCCAAACTTGCCTGGCCCTGTGTGAGAAAGTAATTACCCCCCCCCCCCTTCTGAATCATGATTGAACAATGAGTAACCACATTTCTTGGAAAGCAGAGTTAAGTTTCATTTTCCACACCTAGGCCTGATTACTGCCAGACTTGCTGAATCAAGAAATCACTGAAATAAAAGCTGTCTGACAAAAAGAGAAAACTAAAATCATGGTGAACCTTCCCAGGAGTAGCTGTCCTACCAAAATTACTTTTGTATATACACTGCTCAAAAAAATTAAAAGAACACTTTTTAATCAGAGTATAGCATCAAGTCAATTAAACTCCTGGGATATTGATATGGTCCGTTAAGTAGCAGAGGGGTTTTTAATCAGTTTCAGCTGCTTTGTTGTTAATGAAATTAACAACAGGTGCACTAGATGGGCAACAATGAGACAACCCCCAAAACAGGAATGGTTTTATAGGTGGAGGCCACTGACATTGTTTTCCCTACTCATCTTTTCTGTTTTTCACTAGTTTTGAATTTGGCTAGGGACAGTGTCACTACTGGTAGCATGAGGCGATACCTGGACCCTACAGAGGTTGCACAGGCAGTCCAAATCCTCCAGGATGGCTCATCAATATGTGCCATTGCCAGAAGGTTTGCTGTGTCTCCCAGCACACTCTCAAGAGCATGGAGGAGATTTCAGGAGACATGAAGTTACTCTAGGAGAGGTGGGCAGGGCCGTAGAAGGTCCTTCAACCATCAGCAGGACCGGTATCTGCTCCTTTGTGCGAGGAGGATCAGGATGAGCACTTCCAGAGCCCTACAAAATGACCTCCAGCAAGCCACTGGTGTGAATGTCTCTAACCAAACAATCAGAAACAGAGTTCATGAGCTTGGCCTGAGGGCCTAACATCTTGTGCTTACTGCCTGGCACCATAGAGTTCGAATGGCATTTGCCATTGAACACCAGAATTGGCAGGTCCGCCACTGGCCCTTTGTGCTTTTCACAGATGACAGCAGGTTCACCCTGAGCACATGTGACAGACGTGAAAGGGTCTGGAGAAGCCATGGAGAACATTATGCTGCCTGTAACATCGTTTAGCATGACCATTTTGGTGGTGGGTCAGTGATGGTGTTGGTAGAAATATCCATGGAGGGACGCACAAACCTCTACAGGACCCATTGTCAGACCCTACACTGGTGCAGTGGGTCCTGGGTTCCTCCTGGTGCAAGACAATGCCCGGCCTCATGTGTCGAGAGTATGCAGGCAGTTCCTGGAGGATGAAGGAATTGATACTCTTGAATGGCCCCCACGCTCACCTGATCTAATGTCAAGGTCCTACCTTTCCTCAGAGCTTGTGCTGCTCCATGTGCTGGCATCCATCTTAGGTTTCTGCAAAGCATTGTGGGATCCTTTATGCTTTCAAGCCTCTGTGGCTCCTCCTCCAGGAGGTGGTGGCTTATCACATTTAAGCCTGCTGTCTGCAGCTGCTCTTTGCATTCGTGTCCTGTCTGTTGAATTTCAACAAGCTCCTGTTAGTGTCTCAGTGCTCTTCTGGATATCGACTCAGTTTTGGCAAGACTCCTTCCTGGCTTCTGACCCCGGCTCTGGCGACCATCCTTCCTGGCTTCTGCCCCCGGCTCTGGTGACCATCCTTCCTGGCTTCTGACCCCGGCTCTGGCGATCATCCTTCCTGGCTTCTGACCTCGGCTCTGGCGATCATCCTTCCTGGCTTCTGACCCCGGCTCTGGCGACCATCCTTCCTGGCTGCTGTCCTACCCAGTCATCCGCTGTTGCTGTTGTACTTGCATAGACTCTGTCTTGTTTTTGTACAATAAACTTACCTTTTATTGCACATCCTTGTGTGTCTGGCTCCTCGCTCCCTGACACCTAAATCCAATAGAACACCTCTGGGATATCATGTTTCGGTCGATCTGACATCGCCAGGACTGTCTAGGACTGTCCAGGAGCCCAGTGATGCCCTGGTCCAGATCTTGGAGGAAGTACCATCCGTCATCTCATTAGGAGCATGCCCCGACATTGTCAGGCATGAATACAAGCATGTGGGGGCCATACAAACTACTGAGTACCATTTTAAGTTGCTGCAACGAAATTTCAGCAAAATGGACTAGCCTGCTGCATAATTTTTTCACTTTGAGTTTTGGAATGTCTTTGAATTCAGTCCTCTGTAGGTTGATAATTTTAATTTTCATCAAACGATGGGGCATCCTTAGTTCCTAACACATTACCCAGTCCATATTAGTATAGATATCCAGCATGATATTTTTCCTCATTGATATCTGATGTATTTTCAAAATGTGGTGGGAGTGTCATGGTCTGGGGCTGCATTAGTGCTGGCGGCACTGGGGAGCTACAGTTCATTGAGGAATCCATGAATGCCAACATGTACTGTAACATACTGAAGCAGAGCATGATCCCCTCCCCCTTCAGAGACTGGGCCGCAGGGCAGTATTCTAACATAACGACCACAAACACACCTCCAAGATGACCACTGTCTTGCTAAAGAAGCTGAGGGTAAAGGTGATGGACTGGCCAAGCATGTCTCCAGACCTAAACCCTATTGAGCATCTGTGGGGCATCCTCAAACGGAAGGTGGAGGAGCGCAAGGTTTATAACATCCACCAGCTCTGTGATGTCGTCATGGAGGAGTGGAAGAGGACTCCAGTGGCAACCTGTGACGCTCTGGCGAACTCCTTGCCCAAGAGGGTAAAGGCAGTGCTGGAAAAAAATGGTGGCCACACAAAATATTGACACTTTGGGCCCAATTTGGACATTTTCACTTAGTGGTGTACTCACGTTTGTTGCCAGCAGTTTAGACATTAATGGCTGTGTGCTGAGTTATTTTGAGGGGACAGCAAATTAACACTGTTATACAAGCTGTACATTCACTACTTTACATTGTAGGAAAGTGTAATTTCTTCAGTGTTGTCACATGAAAAGATACAATAAAATATTTACAAAAATGTGAGGGATGTACTCACTTCTGTGATATTAAATAAATATACAGTGCTCAGCATAAATGAGTACACCCCTTTTGAAAAGTAAGATTTTATTCAATAGCTCAATGAACACAAGAACAATTTCAAAGATTTTGACAAAACTGAGTTTTATAGAACATTTGTTTTGCGCATTACATGAAAGTAAGGTTAATAATATAACTTAGATTACAATATCTTCTGTTTTACTCAAATTATTTGTTTCTAAAATGAATAGACCCCACAACAAAAACTACTCCATCTAGTATTTTGTATGACCTCCATGATTTTGTATGGACAGCAGCAAGTCTTCTAGACATGGAATGAACAAGTTGGCGACATATTGCAACATCGATCTTTTTACATTCAAGAACGACCTCTTTTAGAGCCTGGATGCTTTATGGTGAGTGATGCGTAACTTGTCTCTTCAGAATTCCCCATAGGTGTTCGATTTGGTTCAGATCAGGGGATATACTTGGCCACTGAATCACTTTCACCCTGTTCTTCTTCAGAAATGCAACAGTGGCCTTAAATGTGTGTTTTGGATCATTGTCATGTTGGAAAAGTGCACAACGACCAAGGGCAAGGAGTGATGGTAGCATCTTCTCTTTCAATATAGAGCAGTACATCTGTGAATTCATGATACCATCAATGTAATGCAGCTCTCCAACAACAGCAGCAGCACTCATGCAGCCACACAGAAGGACACTACTACCACCATGTTTCACTGTAGGCACCATGCATTTTTCTTTGTACTCCTCACCTTTGTGACACCATACAGGTTTGAAACCAAAGATTTATCTTGGTCTCATCACTCCAGAGTACAGAGTCCCAGTAGTCTTCTTCTTTTTCAGCATAGGCCCTGGCAAATTCTATGTGGGCTTTTTTGGGCATGGGCTTTTGGAGAGGATTTCTTCGAGGACGACTCCCATGTATGCCATTCCTCTGCAGTGTATGCCGTATTGTGTCACGGGAAACAATCACCCCAGTTTGGCTTTCTGCTTCTTTAGCTAACTGCAGTGAACTTGCTTGCTGATTTTCTTCAACCCTTCTCATCAGAAGACAATTCTGTTGAGGTGTTAACTTCCATTGATGTCCTGGACATCTCTGTGAGATGGTTGCAGTTCCATCTTTAATTTTTTGTATCACTTTTTTTGCTATAGTATTCTGACTGATAAGTAAAGCTTTGCTGATGTTCTTGTAGCCTTCATCTTTCTTGTGTAAAGAAGTTCTTTTATTTCTCAGGCATTGTGCCATTTCTCTTCCATGCGGTGCCACTGCTAACAGCATGAAATGGGCAGGGGTTTTCTTGGTTAAGTAATGCCCTTTTATAATCAAATGTCTGCTGGACACCTGTTTAATGAATAATTAGACTCATCTGTAGTTGAATTCTTGGTTCGGGTGTGTGTGGTCCCATACAATCTGAGGAAGGGGGGAGGGGGAGGGGGAAGAGAAAGAAAGGGAGAGAGAGGGAAAGAGAGAGTGAGGGGAGGAGAGAGAGGGAGAAAGAGAGAGAGAGATAAAAGGGGAGGTAAGAGAGAGAGAAAGGGAGAGAGAGAGAGAGAGGGAAGAGGGAGAGAGAAGGAAGAGAGAAAGGGAAGGGAGAGAGGGGGAGATGAGGGGGGGGGGGAAGGGAGAGAGAGAGGGGAGAGGGAAGGAAGAGAGAGAGATGGGGAAGAGAGAGAGAGAGGGGGGAAGAGAGAGGGGGGGAAGAGAGAGGGGGGGGAGGGGGGGAGGGGGAGAACGAGAGAGGGAAAGAAAGAGAGAGAGAGGGGGGGAGAGGGGGGGAGGAAGAGAGAGATGGGGGAAAGAGGGAGAAATATAGAGCGAAAGATGTATAAAGAGAGGGGGGGAAGAGAAAGAGGGAGAAAGATAAAGAGAGAGGGGGGAGAAAGAGAGAGAAGAGAGAGAGAGAGAATCATATATACATACCCACACTAATTGAACTCTCTCGCTCTCTTACTGGGGAGGGTGCAAACATTTTTGTGTTGCCTAGGGCAGCACAAAATCTAAATACACTGTTTATGGGTCAGAACATAGATTTTTACTGTACTGTAAAGAGAACCCTGTTACTGTTTAAAAAACTGCAAGTAAAAGCACAAAAAAATTAAGTATTTTAAATGCGTACTTGCAGCATTTTCCTTTCCATAATCTATTGTATTGACTTGCAGTGTGCCAGTGAGATTGCCAGAAAATGTGACTTATTTGGGAAAAGTCAATTCTCTAACACAGAAACAGAAAGGAAGATATGTAAGACTGTAGCTGGAGGAAGCAGCAGGAAAAAGACATGTACACATAAGGAGCCTGGCTAGATTGGTATTCTCTCAATGACGATGTTCCCACAGTGATTATTAGCCTTTGCAAGGGACAGTAGGATACAGGAGTGGTGACAGTTATGCATGTGATTATATGAAGTCCTTATATGAATTCCCTATAAAAGCAGACATCATCAGATTTACGAATTAGGTTCATGCATGATAAAGGATGTGTAAGTGTAACATATGCAAATATTTATTATTTATTACCTCCCTCTAGGTCAGAGCTGGGGGATGGGAATATACAGTATACAACACATTCCTAAACTGAAGCTATATTCTTATCCGAGTAATGATTCATCCTGTAACACAGCCCTCAAAATTTCCACTCCCCTGCTCTCATTTAGCATGTGGAAATAACCTGGGGGCAAGCAGGGTCTGGAATAGGGGTGGGTGGGAGGGGCAGTTAAAAGCACCAATCTCCCTGTATGGCTTTCATTAAAGCAGCTGAAAGCTGCGGGAGGGAGAAGAGGAGAAGCAGTTTCCAGCTGCTCCATTGACAGCCATACAGGGAGATTGGTGCTTGTAATTGCCCGCACTGCTGCAGTGATCTTTCCTGACTGTCAATTAGATTTCTTTTTTTTTCTGGGCCCCCCCATGTGCTCATAAGTGCCCTGCCACTTCCCCCATCGCCCACGCCAATAGGAGAGGAGAGATGCTGGATCTGCTCTGCCTCCCCCTGTGCCCGCCCACACTCCAGTCCCTGCAGCTTCTCAGAGGTATAAATATTGGGCTTTTTAAAAAAAATTTTTTTACTAGTAATGGCGGCGATCAGGACGATTTATAGCAGGACTGCAGCGGACATTCTGACACTGGGGGGAACTGACTTGCTGTCACTGAAATCCCCAGTGACACCAATACAGTGATCAGTGCTAATAAAAAGCACTGGCACTGGGCAGGAAGGGGTTAACGTGGGGAGATCAAAGGCTTAGCTGTGTGCTGTGTGCCGTTTTACTAAGTGTGCTGTGTTAGTGCTTCACTGTAAGCACACTGCTTTGCATGGCTGTGCTATGCATAGCCTTGCAAAGCAGTGTGCAGGAGCTGACAGAGGAGAGAACTGTTTTGTTTACAAACAGTACTCAACCCATTGCAGATGTTCGGCAATCACTGGGCGCTGGTGAGTAATCACCGGCCAAGACTTGGTGATTGACAGCTGTGGCCACGAATGGCCCCCACCCAGAAATGCAAAATCACGTACATAAACGTGATTTTGCGCACAGCTACCACCCTGTAGCTGTATATCTGCTATGGGGCGGCGTTAAAGCGGTTAATAATGTAAAAGTTGTTGTTGGTAAAATGTCTTTCTGTACCTTTATTTTGCATAAAACATTTAACAGTGTCATGTCATGAGATAATTTACGAGGGCGTTTCTAGGGGTAGAATTAGGGTGGGGCAGGATAAGAGTTGGGTGGGGCAACTGGTGGTGAGTAAGGCTAGGTTCACATTTATGTGCGGGTGGTGCGGCTGTGGATCCGCACAAAAAATCCGTGCAGCCGCACCACCCGCACAGAGGAATGCGGACCCCGCAGGTGGGTGCCATTAGTTCTAATGGCACGCTGCCCGCACTGGAAAACACAACTGTACTGGGAACCGAGATTCCTGTGCGGGCTCTGCTTTCAGAAGAAGTGCAGGGACTTCTTCCCTGCATGTCACGGGGCACGGGAGTCCATTCAAATGAATGGGCTCTCGTACCCGCGCAAAACGTGGCCCGCACGACCGCATATATGTGAACCAGGGGTTAAGGCCTGGCTAGTAGCTCAGGACTTGAAATTGTGAGCCCTGCCTTAACAAATTTTAAAATTCAAACTGACATATGGTGTAAAACATGCATATTTAAAAATCACTTTCACTGAAAACTGTATTTCAACATGAAATTAAGATAAAGACAGCTGAAGCTATAGGAAAATGTTAACTTTTAATTAAACCTACTTCCAAGTTCCCCTAGTCTTTATATTATCATGGTCAGCCTTGGGTTTAGGAGAAGAAGGTCAAAGACAGTTAGATTTGAATATACCTGCAGCTGCCCATTGGCCTGGATCGTTTGCCTGGATCTAGTGGTTTTTTGTATATGCAATTTACAATTAAATATTTTTTTCATATGCCCTATTTGAATTGTCATAAAAATTGCTTTTTTAAATTGGCAGTAGGCACCATACCATACATGAAGCCCCCAATTAAGAAGTAATTTGAATTATTGCAGGAAATGCCTGGTGCCTACATTGCATTGTGGGATGAGACTGAGGATTCATAATATATATTTATGCTTGGCTTTCTATAAAGTCGACATTTGCTTCAGACAGTTCTACACTGTGGAGGCACTTTGAAGATTGTAACCACAATCTGTAGGCATTAGATGGTTCCTACTAACAATTTGTATGTCTTTTTTCTGAACATAAGAAAACTTTAGAGAAAACCTCAAAATGAATGATTTAAAGTGGTTGCAAACCCTTAAATAAACCCAGTGAAGTGACAAACCTCAGGTAATACACAAAGTTGAAACAAATACCACTAAAGTTGTACCTGTTTATCTGTAGCAATGTCTGCTCTAAAGTCTTCTAGAGCGTACACTTTACACAGCATTTTCAAGCAGGGCTCTGACACACTGCACAGCACAGAGCAGAGAGAGTACTGTAACCTGAGCTGTGAGTGAATGGAAAGAACCCCCCCAACCCCATGCAGAGTACACAGTAAAACATGCACAGCTGAGGCTATCAGTCATAGGTTGTGTGAACACTGTAGAAGAATGTGCTTTGTTTATTTTTCATGTCAAAGGTTTACAGCCACTTTGAACCTATTATGTGAGAAATTTTGCTGCCATTGTTGAGAATGCTATCTGACTGGCTACAATGAGCAAAAAGTAGAAAAAGGTGAGCGCTAGGCAATAGGAAGCAGCTAGCACAGAAGATAGGTTACAATCCCCAAAATGAATGTGCAGTGCTAAAAGTACTAAAATAAAACAATAAAGTGCATCACATAAAAAATGTATCAATATATGTTGACCTACTGTTGTCAATCCATTCTAAGTCACTGACTTAGAACAGGTATATTATAGGTATTATATTATATTATATAGGTATAGATGATTATAACATGACAATCATACTGTCAGCATGTTCATCTAAAACGTTCAGCAAAGGCAGTCTTCATGTTTTTAATCACATTTTCCTTGTAGAAGGAAACTAACATTTTTTAGCTTATTTTTTTTTACATCTTTCAAGCTTATGGAAGTTTTATGCTTTTTATTGATATTCTATAACATATTTGCAAAAAACATTTAATGCAGGGTTTCCCACAGGTGGTGTCACACACCATTTAAGTTAATTTGAAGAGAGGGCACAGCAGAAGGTATTTATTTCCGAGTTCGGTGGACCCACTGTTCCACCAGGGAGCACAGATGCTAGAGTGGTGTCATTTTTTAGCCAGATGGTCAGAGCAGACAATAAACAGTAGTACGAGACAGCAGGCGGATGGGCAGATCAGGCACAAACCACACCTAAAGAGTCCAGGTTTCACACAGGTAGACAGAACCATAATTGAAAAAATAAAGCTAAAAGGCAGATGATCAGGATGAGTACAGACAAGCTGAGTACAAAGTCCAAACAATTTGCAGGAGTAATCTAGGGAATGAACAGGTAGACAGATCTAAGTATAAGCATAAGACAAACAGACCATACACAGTCTGAATGCCCAGCACACTATTTAAGTCCTGAGCCTCAGTACAGCAAGTAACAACCAGTAGTCATTCAGGCTGATGATTACATTACAGCTAAAGCCCCAAACACAGGATCAGAATATTAGACAAATGATCATCCATTTTTTTTTTTTTTTTGCATGCTAGTCTCAAAAATGAAGGTACTACACGTACGAAAATTCTTGTACGAAAGAATTCTTTGAACTAAGAATGATAATTCTATTTGACACAAGAGATAACGGCCTTAATTTGGACATGGGATTCCTCAATCATTATCCAACAGT